TGCATATACACACACCAGCAAACATGTCGAGATTTAGCCAACATGAAAGAAATCTATATTGATTTTCTAGACCTTTTAGAGGCGTAATTAATAGTCACATGAACTTGGAATTATAAATGAAAAATATAGACATAGGCAGCCAAAACAATTAAATATTCACAACACCGCCGCACAGTTAGCGCAAACAACAATTTCCGTGTGTGATGACAAAGTGTTTTTGTATTTAGAATTAAACACCCATGACGCTCCAGAGCAAATGTGGCTAACATTTATTACGGAAATACTAATCAGTATTTACGGAAAAAAAGCTTGATGTTGTTTTAAATTAAAAGCGTAGAACTATGACCTATGAAAAATTCAGGCTTGAGAAGAAAATACACACACACACAACACACACACACGTACACACACACACACACACACACACACACACACACACACACACATACGCACAAACACACACATACACACACACACATGCTTATATACATATATGTGTGCTTCAATATATATTAACTATTTTACGTATCTTTCTACACACACACACACACATACACTCATATATATTATTTACACTTTTATACATTTGTGTGTGTGCGTGTGTTTGTGTCTTGCAATTCTACAGTAGCAAGTACTTGTGGAAACTGAAAAGATCAATGGTTTCTTTGCCTTTAACAATAAGCAGTGGGATCCCAGTTAAGTTCCACTGGGAAATCAGCATCTGTTGCAGTTGACATACAAAAAATAAGGAAAAAAGAAAGAATAAAACAAACGCCGTACTTGGCAAAGGGATCCGGGGGAAATGTGTATGTTCGATGTCCGAAATAGTTGTCTATTTTTCGCTAACTGATATAAAGAACTGTTCTCGTGTATGAGAATTAGGGACAGATTCAGCAGGCATACATGGAAAAACAAACTTTTGGTCATGGGCAGAATACTAATATTTTTATTTATTTATTTACTTTTTTTTATACAGCTCTTTGTTAGCTTATCATTGATGCTAACAAATGCACAAACACGCACACGCATGCATGTGTGTGCGGGTGCAAACATCCATCTCGTTATTAATCTACAGAAGATTCATAATTTAGGGGGATGCCTAAACACATCCGGACACATATATATGTGTGTGTGAGAGAAGTAAGATGTAATAAAGAACGTTAACCCACCGGAGATCCTCTGATCTGTAACAAAATTCTAGGCACTCGTCATGAATATATAACCAGGACAATGTTCTGTAGCTGAGTGTGAGAAGGTATAACATGGGGGGAAAAGTTTGTTTTATTTAACTGAAATGAGTCCGGGTGACGTTGGCATTACTGAGCTAACGTATCAGAATTAAGAGAGCCTAACAATACCTAATCTCGCTCTTATTCATCCAGTGTAAACTTGAATTCACGTAAAAGTACACCGTTTCGTAGGAGTCAGCCACGTCATTCCAAACCCAACATGTTTTCAGCCAAATGTCATAGGAATCCCACTCTACTTCTCATTATTGCAAACGCATACTACTGGTTTCCGAGAATGGTTCGATAAAGTCCCTAAATGCAGGTCAAACATCCTTTTGCTTTTTAATTAACAGAATCTTGCCATAACTCTACATTCCTTTACCAAAACCGTAGCTGAATCTGAAGACGAGGCTGCAAAATAAGCTTGAAAGTATAGAGATTCTATTCTTGTTACAGCTAACTGACATCAGATGAACTAAAGCCAGCAACAACGCAGATAACACATTGGCATTGACATATGACAAACAGTTACGAAAGCAAGTCATCGCAAATAAGTGTCCATATCAGTGTTCAGTCTCGGTTCCATGTATAAATTTTCGGTTTCCATTTTCAGTTAAGCTTCAAAAATATATTTTTGCGTGTATGAACAGTTACGAATGCGCATATGAACACACACATTCTCTCTCTCTCTCTCCCTCTTTTCTCTCTCAGAAAAAAACACAAAAACGTACACATATTTGTTAACCTTTTCCATAATGGTCAGTAAAGTAAAAACTTATCCATGCAACCAAATATGTGTGTGTGTGAGTGTGTGTGTGTGTGTGTGTGTGTGTGTGTGTGTGTGTGTGTGTGTGTGTGTGTGTGTGTGTGTGTGTGTGTGTGTGTGTATGCTTACTAGATATATCATTTTCTTCTGTAACATATTTGTATTGCTGAGACTTTACATTCTTACGCGTCGCGTGTCTAGTATAATAAAGTATTGTTACCGCCATATTAACGAAGAAACTTACCCTTATTTGCATCTGAATATTGATAGCATACGGGAAACAGTTAAACACTATACATCTTGAAAAGTTACTCGTATATGCACAACTTGATCTAACTAAATAAAGTTGTCGCTTTACTTGATGATGTGTCATTATGCATTTTTCCTTTTTTCCTTTCTGAAATTACTGTCATTTCTATTATCATTATCATTGTTATTCTAGGTAGAGCTATACATACGCATAATTCATACATCTGCATAAAGATATATTGTGTAACTAGACATT